AATTACTGTAATTATATAAACTGTAATCAATCAAACAGCCCCCGGACTAGAATACAGTTAAAAAACCCACAACAAGAGACTGATTTGTGCTCACATTATCCTCCTGAGACCCAGAAGAAAAACTGTTTTAATGTATTGATTAATTCAATATAAATTAAGTCTATGAGATGTCGCAAAGATTTTTCCCCCTAAAACTATTATTTATTATTTAACGTATCTTTTGTAGTGGACTTTGACTCTTGCTTTGTCACAAAAAGAACATCATTAGGCATCAATTTGTTAATGATAAATTTTCAATTTCTGTGCACTTTTATTATTATTATTATTATTATTATTATTCATTTGCTGAGCAACTATTTTCCAGCCAGTGCAAAGCCGGCATAGCTTTTGCACATTGGTATTTTGATATTTTCACACAACAATTAACCATTTTTAAAGTTACATGCAAATAAATTGTAATGTGTAGATAAAATAACTAGACACATCACAATCCCCCACCCCGACCCCAGAATTTACTTCTGAGATTTAAGTTGTTAATCATGTCGTATTTCAGACACTAAATGCAACTGTCGGTAAATTACTATATAGTGGCTGGGGGGTACAGGACCAAGGTCTTTTTTTCATTCATTAACAAAAGCACACTACTGAGTGAAGCGTTATGTACAATTAAACCCTTATTAAATCCTTCAAATCCTTATAGGCAAATGAAACTGTGCGGATCAGTCACAAACTAATGACCTGATCTTGCTCATACATTATAAATGGTACATTAGGAAGCCATTCTTGGTGTTTGAGACTCAAAGAAACATGTTGCACTTCACAATTCCCGTCAGTGATTTTCACCAAAATCATTTCTCTGTCACTCAGTGCTACTTTTCCTGAAGTAAGGAAAATGTTTTAAAATGAGAAGAAGGAAGTCCTAGTCTCCAGTTTAGATGTGACGTTGATGGGAAGCCTTGATGATATAATGTTGGTGCAGAAAAACTGCTGTGTTGTGTAGTAACAAATAAAACACTTTTTCAGCTGTTTTTCAACAAGTCTGATTTTTACAGGTTAATTCATAAGAATATCCATCCATTGATCCATCTTCGTCCCCTTTATCTGAAACCGGGTTGTGGGGGCAGTAGCCCGAGCAGAGCCCCCCCAGACTTCCCTCTCCCTACACACCTCCTCTAGCTCCTCAGGAGGAACCCCAAGGCATTCTCAGGCCAGCCGGGAGACATAGTCTCTTCAACATGTCCTGGGTCTGCCTTGAGGCCTTCTCCCTGAAGGACATGCCTGGAATACCTCCCTAGGGAAGCATACAGGAGGCATCCGAAACAGGTGCCCGAGCCACCTCAACTGGTTCCGCTCAATGTTAAGGAGCAGCGGCTTTTCTCCACTGGAGAAACTCCGCTTTACCCTATCCCTAAGGGTGCGCCCAGCCACTCTCTGGAGGAAACTCGTTTTTGCCGCTTGTATCTGCGATCTCATTCTTTCAGTCATGATCCAAAGTTCATGACCATAGGTGAGGGTAGGAACGTAGATCAACCGGTAAATTGAAAGCTGCTCCTTCTTCACCACAACGAACCGGTACAGAGACCCCATTACTGCGGACGCTGCACCGATCCATTTGTCAACCTGCCGCTCCATTTTTCCCCTCACTCGTGAACAAGACCCCGAGATACTTAAACTCCTCCACTTGAGGGTGTAACTCGCCCCCAACTCGGAGAGAGCAATCCACCTTTTTCCGATTGAGAACCATGGCCTCGAATTTGGAGGTGCTAATTCTCATCCCAGCCACTTCACACTCGGCTGCAAACTCCTCCAGTGCACGCTGTATGTCTTGAACTGATGAAGCCAACATAACCACATCATCTGCAAAAAGTAGAGATGAGATTCTGCGGCCACCAAAACAGACACCCTTCATTCCCTGGCTGCACCTAGAAATTCTGTCCATAAAAATAATGAACAGAATCAGTGACAAAGGGCAGCCTTGGCGGAGTCCAACATGCACTGGAATCAGGTCTGACTTACTGCTGGCAATGCGAACCAAGCTCCTACTCTGGTTATACAGTGAATGGACAGCCCATAACAATGAGCCCCGCACCCCATAATCCCGAAGTACCTCCCACAGGATGCCACAAGGGACACAGCTGAATGCCTTCTCCAGATCCACAAAACACATGTAGACTGGTTGGGCAAACTCCCATGAACCTTTTTATAAAGGGGGACCACCACCCCAGTCTGCCATATACTTGAGAAATTCGGGGCGGACCTCATCCACCCCCAGAGCCTTGCCACCGAGGAGTTCCTTAACTACCTTGGCAACTTCAGCCAGGGTAATGGACAAGTCCCCTCCCGAGTCCCCAGCCCTGGCTTCCTTTATGGAAGGCGTGTCGGAGGGATTGAGGAGATCTTCAAAGTACTCCTTCCACCGGCCGACAACATCCTCAGTTGATGTCAACAACACACCAGCTCCACTGTAAACAGTATTGGCAGAACACTGCTTCCCCCTCCTGAGCTGCCCGGCAGTTCTCCAGAATCTCTTTGAAGCCAACCGAAAGCTTTCCTCCATGGCCTCACCGAACTCCTCCCAGGCCCGAGTTTTTGCTATGGTGATTGCCAGAGCTGTGTCCCGCTTGTCCTGTCAGTACCTGCCATCTGCTTCAGGAGTCCCATGAGCCAACCAGGCCCAATAGGCTCACGTTTACCCCGCCCGGTATTGAGTCACTGGGGCCCCACCCTAGAGCCAGACCTGGGGGAGGGGCTCGCATGTGAGCGCCTGGTGGCCAGGCCTATACCCACGGGGCCTGGTCGGGCTCAGCCCGAACCATAACGTGGAGCCACTCTCCGGTGGGCCCACCACCTGCTGGACAGGCCATAAGGGGCCGGTGCATTGTGTTTTGGGCAGTGGCCGAGGCTGAGTGCCTGGCCGACCCAAACCTTGGACATCAACTCTGGTTTTTGGGACTTGGAATGTCATAAAAATATACAGTTTTAAAATTTCCTCTGTGGCAAATCCTATTGTTTGAAAGAACTCATATGTAGCACTTATATGTGGTCTTCATATTTAACATTGTAAACTAGCATTTCTTCTACTTACTAAGATTAATATGCTGTCAGGTTTGCCCAGCTGCACATGCCTTTCTCACTCTTTCTCTCTTTCAGCCCCTGCTTACACCGCCTAGCACACCTGCTCCACATCCCCTGATTATCACCAGCTGCATTTCATTAGTCCTATCCCTACTTATACCCCGCTCACCTATCACTCCCTTGCCAGTTTATTCTTCTTTCTCAGGCCCATTCGGTTGTTGTTTCTTCTCGTACTTTTACCATTTGTCTCTCACCCATAGTTTGCCTATCTCATCCCAGTACAATCTTCCACTCTCTGTCGTCTCCTCCGGGCCCTGAACCTACTCTGCCCTTCCAGTCTCCACCATTTCAGGTCGATGCACAGTCTCCTTAACTCATCTGTACACCCCCTGCCTTCTTTCTCCATAGCCACCACCATCTCTCTGTCGACCAGCTCAGGAGTGACCCCAGCGTCCGCAGCCCGGTCAACTCCCAGCCATCACACCACAAACTGGTTTCTCAGCTGCTGATCGACACCCGGTTACCCCATCATTCTACACTGGCCTGTTTTCCTATTGACTAATTCCCATTTCACTATAAATAAATTTAGCACTGCTTGCACCGAAGTCAGCTACCTGGGTCCGCCTCTCTTTACTCGCTCTCTTCCCTGTCCGAGCAGACACAACATACAGTATGCTGTTTGTTGAGTGGTGACAGGTATCAAGTGAAAAGCAACATGATGATGTATGAAATAAATGCAGTGGGAAATTAAATGGCTTCAAACTGAAATTACTGTAGTTGTTTATCAAGATAGATTTAAAGGCCCATATTGGTGGCTTCATAATTGGTTTACATCACTATAATTATATTCTTCATGACAGTTGACTAGTGTCTAAAGCTCACCACTGTGTGCCAAATGATTTTCAAACCTCAAGTGCTTTCACTGTTTTACGTTCATTTCTATACAATATGAAAATCAACAGCTTAAAAGTTTAAGAAATTTTCATATTTTGAAATAATTAGAACTCCTTGTCAATAGATGGTGTGAATACAGTATATCCATACTATATGCGAAACCCTTTGCTGTATGTAGTTAGGGTTCAGCCCTTTGACCTAAGCAGAACCAAGGTGTCAAAAGTAGGTGGGACTTAGGGTCATAAATCACATCATAAATCTCCCCTTCACACCTCACTTTGGCAGGAGCTGCATTCTTATACTTTCTAGGAACAGATGACATCTGCCTCGTGCCGCTGCAGCATCCGTTCCTCCCTGTCTATTTGTATTTGTGGGGTTGGGGTTGTCATAGATAATATTACAGCTACATTACAGCCCGAGTGACCATTTTATCCTGCTCTGATCAGATTAATCTGGATTGGTCTGAAACAATGAATGATGATATAACAATCTGGGCGCCGGCCACTTGTCCTTCCCAAAATCAATTGGTATTTGGCCAGCACGCCTGCACAGAGAATCCAATATGGTGTGACAGGGCACTTCTTAGTTAACAGACTACTGAGACAGCACTGCAGGGGAAATTATTTTACCTATTTTATTACAGTATGTTTTCCTGTTTTAATTTCAGTTCAGCTTAGGCTTAGTTTGTTTTAGTTGAGCCTTTGATTTGATGTTTGGTACATAATGCAATATAAATTTAAATCTGATTTGTTAATTTGCTTGAAACTTTATTTAACTGACAAAAGAAAAGGTTTTTGGTGTTTTCACTGGCCAACAGAATTGTATTTTGCAAATATAAACAAATTTAGAATTTGATGCTTACAAGGTCAGAAATGTTCTGATGTTTTAAACAATACACACCAAATTACTTTCTTGTTCACAGACACATGACCTACTCTGCAGTAACTTGCAATGAACTCAAAGTACCTCACTCACCGGCCACAGGTAAATGGACGATTCTACGTCAAGACGCGCCACTGCGACTGCGCAACAAATGTAGACACACAGGTGATCAACTTTGACGCGCCGGCGCGTAATGTGTCTGAGCAAAATCAAACATGATGCGGAATTATCCCAGTGGCAGTTCTTAGGGGAAGACAGAAAAACACCAATACAGCTGAAGTAAGCTATATTCAGGAGAGAGGAGTAGCAACATGTTGGTCCAGTTAGCAGTTCTCGACAGGCAAACTGAAACAAGGTAAGTACTGTAACTGCTTCCACCGCCATCTAAAACAGATACTGTCAAAATACAAACAAATGGAGAAACGACATATATTTAGCCTACATATAAATGATATCTTTCATTTAGAGAATTTCAAACGCTGTTCTGTGTGCATGATAAATTATTTGCGTGTTTTGTTCGTCTTTGAACTTAACATGTGGCACAATAAAATGCTCTTTTATTGTTAAATAGTTTACTTTTTACAGCTTCCTGCATGGAAACACGTTCATGCGCACTTTGATTTCACTACTTCAATTACCGTGAGACTGTGGAATTAAGCTACAAAACTGAAAACTCCCGGAAAAATAAACTTTCCATGACAGTAATGTATTTCAGACTTTCTAGAGGAAACAGTCAAACTTTTACTGACAGTAAAATGACAGCGTGCAGATCCAGACTAATTACGTCACTGTTTCAGGCATAATTAATAATTTGGTATAATTAATGAAGTTATGCCACTGTGCCACATGCGTAAATGCGCACAGCACCTTTCTCACTTTGGAGACAATCATAGTGATGCTCCTGCTGTGTGATAGTTATTTAACTAGTCAAAGGAAAGAGCTGGACCTCCTTTTAAGGTTTTGATAAAACCTGGATGACATTCAGTGGCACCAGGATTCGTTATGGTGATCCTCATTAATCTAATTTCTTACAGACTCTGCCTTCATCAGTTTAAAAGTTGAACTTATATAATAGATAGGAAATTGCAGTGCAGGGTAAATAAGTAAAAACCTGAAATATGTTTTGTGATTAAGGAGAGGTCTGTGTGCTAAAAGCCACACAAACTGGTGGCTGGTTTGTGGCTTATGGATCAGTGTTGTTGCTGAAATGTGGAAAAAGTGTCTGATGTTCAGACTTTGTCTTATGTGCAGAGAAAGCCTGTTCTTCTTATTTGGTGTGTTAGTTGTTCTGGCAGAATGTGACACTTTGATTTATGGTCACCCGAAATTGTGACCACATTGTGCCTGGAAACACAACTAAAATGTGCAGCATGTAAGTATTGTCTACTACTTACCTCCTCCAAGGTGTCTGTTGGTTGGATTTTTCACATCCTAAATGAAAGAGTAATGAATAGATTTTGATGAGGGATCAATTCAGTAAATCCACCGCTGCGTATACACTGGCGAAAAGGAAATGTATCGGTGGCTTAAAGTTGCTCCCATTAATGAACAGTTGCTAGTAACACCTCCATTGTTGCCAAGAATGGTTGCTGGTGCTGGGAACACACAGAGCTTTTAGCCACTGCTGTTGTACTTTATGAGGGTTGGACTTTTTCAGTTTGCCACGTGACCATGTCACTCAAAGTGCCGCTGAATTTAGGCTATTATCTAAAGACATTGAAACCTGGGGGATTCAATGAGGAGTTATTGCTATGTTTTTGTGATGAATGGTCAAAGGTACAAATGTTTTCTTTTCATGTTTGTTGTAAATATTTGAGATGTAGATGGGCCTTGTATCTGTGATGGAATGGTGAGGTCATGTGACCATGCTCGGGTTTACAAAGCGGTAGGGAAACAATATTTGTTTAAGGTACTGATGGACGATGTATACTGCTCAAAAAATAAAGGGAACACAACATAAGACATCCTAGATCTGAATGAATGAAATATTCTTATTAAATACCTTGTTCATTACATAGTTGAATGTCTTATTTTCCCTTGTGTTCCTTTTATTTTTTTGAGCAGTGTATTATTGAAACGTTTGTCTTTAGGGATTTGTATTATATGAGGAGTGGACAATGAACGTTCTGAAGGGGATGTTTGTTCTTCTCTAGGATTTGTTATTTGACAATGTGCAGATCTTGTCTCTGGTTTTAAATGAACTTTACTTTAGGACAACACACCTGTTGGTAATTATGAAATAGGATGAACAAAGGTGCAACAGTGTTGCTACATAAAGAATTACAGGACAAAAGCCAATCTGTCGACCTCTGCAATAAAACCGTGACAAGCATAGATCGCCCTAAGGGTACTGTATGTGAATGGAAGAAGTTTGGAACCAAGAGTTCTCTTCCCAGAGTTGACCATCTACAACTCAACATTTAACAGATCTTTAGAGCTCCTGTGCAGAGATGGGAGAACCTGCCAGAGGGACGACCATCTCAGCATCACTCCATGAATCAGACCTTTATTGCAGAGTGGCTAGACAGAAGCCACTTTGACTAAAAGGCAGATGACATCCTGCTTGGGGTTTGCCATATGATATTTAAAAAGGACTCTGAGAGCAGGAGAGAAAAGATCTTTAATGAAGTAATGTGCACAAAAAAATGAAGGGGTCTGAGCACTTTCTGAAGCCACAGTAAGACTGTGGAAAATCTAAGAACCAAAAACAACTGCAGCAGTGTTTATTTTCTGACAACAGCAATGCAGAGCTGTTTCACACCCAGTACCAAAACGTTTGATCTGCCAAGCTTTGTACAGCACATGATTGCACTCAAAGGCTGCTGGATGTGAAAATACAGTAAATCTGTGAATGAAATCCTTCATGCAGATCTAGCAGTAACATCATGATAGTTTTACCCAGGGTGACCTGCCTCCTGAGCTGAGGAGCACTGGTTAGTGTTGAACTATATATGTTTACAACTTTGATTGTGGATCCATGTTTTATATATGCGCTCTCACTCGCTGTGTTTGAGGGGGCGGTTTGAGCATTGTGTGCAGTGTTTTATCAAAGCATCTTGGTTATTCTGGTTCTAAGTTATAAAAATTATGAATGAACATGTGTAATTTTAGCACGAGCACAGGTTTTACAGTTACTTCTCTCAGAACACACTGAAGGACATATTGGGTGTTCTTCTTCTTGGGCATTTATTTTTCTTTTTCCTTGACTTCTGAATCATTGAAGCACTGAATGTGCTTGTCTAGGTTTAGGACCTGGTTTTAGATGCTACACACATGCCTGCAAAACCCATGTCTTAACAGAATTGGAAATTATCTAATTGACAGCATCCATGTTTGATTTTATCTCTGATTCTGCTGCCTTTTAAAAACTATCTTGAGTCTGACAGTGTTATAGCCATACAATGCCAAGTCAGTGGAATAAAAGTTACAGGTTCTCACATTGATGTAAAATCTGCAGGTTCCCATATTTTAATGTCTTAAAATGCTGACTTTGTAGATGCCAATGGTGGATAGGGGTGAGAGTGACTAATGACAGTGCCAAAAAACTTGATCAGGTCAGAAGGCCCAAACCGTGACTGCCGAATCTGAGCCACCGGCAGCCATTCAGCTACACGGATAGATATGGCTGTGTGATCATGTTGTGGGGAATTGTCTGTCCTCACTATGCGACACTTGAGCCAGACTCTGACCGATTAAACGACCAGACGTGACTAACAGCTTGTTATGCTGATCCTGGAGCGTGTTGGCGCTCCCAGGATGACTGCTTGTGCAGCAGAACATCTCAGGGACAAACACAGTGCTTGAATTCAGGAGAATAATTTCACATCCAGGCATTTGTGCAGCTTTTGACCTTTTATAGCATCTGCAGATCTGGAACTGAACTTATCATCTTTAACCTGTTTTTTTTCTGCAGTACGTCCTTCCAAGTGTTTCCTAGTGTTATTTATATTTATGCTTTTTGTTTAATCCAGATTTCACTAAACAATTAGCATACTTATCTTTCAGTCATTGAAGTTAATGGATTATCTGAATTTTAGCTGTCAGCTCCCTGGATAGTTACTACATTTATCTTAGCTTGCAGTGTGAGTGTTAAAGAATATTGGCTGTGTTTTTAAATGTGTAGCCAGATAACACAAGACCATACTCAGGTGCTTAAACTGAGTACTGTCAAATATAAATATTTGTATGTTTATTTAAGGTATTTAGAGCATTTTTACAGCATTGGAAGCTGTTTGTGAGCATTAGGAGAAAGTGCAGCAGTGCGTTCACCTATAAGACTATCAGCTGTCAGATCACCTCTTTGTTTTCTAACTAGAATTCACCAACATGGGGATCCATCCATTCATTATCTATACTGCTTATTCCTGAATAGGGTCATGGGGGACGGGGGGGGCTGGAGCCAATCATTACACCATAGACAGGTCGCCAGTTTAACACAGGGCTGATATGTAGACAGACAATCACACACGCCCACACGAGCAATTTAGAGTCACAAACCAACCAAAGCTGCATGTCTTTGGACTGTGGGAGGAAGCCGGAGTACCCGGAGAGAACCCATGCAGGCACAGGGAGAACATGCAAACTCTGCACAGAAAGGACCCGGGTCGGCCAGATCTCAAACCCGGAACCTTCTTGCTGTGAGGCAACAGCACTAACTACCTTACAGGCTGGGGATGAAGCTGAAAATGATCAGTCACTTTTTCATCTTTCCTTCATCATGATTGCCACAAGCTTTAGATCAGCCCGTGTAATTCCAATGGGGCTAAGGTATACTTGTTTTAGGAACTGTAATTGTTAAATGTTCGATTGTTTTGTATGTGTTGTTTAACCCCAAACTGAGCATTTTAATCATTTGTGTGTATGTGTGTGTGCATCAAATACAGTATATACTGCATACAGGTCACTCTGCTCTAAGAGTCGGTATGGGTTTGACTGTTCTGTCTGCTTCACTGCACAAAGTTTATTTCAGCTCTGGCTTGGTCCAGGACCAAGTGTGCGTGGATGTTGACCTGTGATGGGAGCTGAAGGGATCCTGGGAAATGGCTTAACTGATGGTCCTGTATGGCCAGATGTACGGTACCTATTCCAGCTGTGGTCAGTTTGGTTCCTGGTGAAACCAGATGCTGCTCTCAGGTGTATGCAGCATGCACTGTGATGTACACTACTAAATGGTTATGTAGAATCATAATTGTCTCTGATGCATTATGTCTCCAGTGCAGTGTTGCAAGTTAAACAGCAGGCTGATCCCTCCTTTACATTCATGTTTGAAAAACCTATGAATGCATCCATCTGGATCTAATGAAGGAGTTCTTTTTGTGTGTCTGCGTGTTTTGTTTTTCTCTTAGGCTTTGTGCT